ACGTATAGTCAAGGCCATAGTTTTCCCAGTTGCAATGTATGGCTGTGAAAGTTGGACCATAAGAAAGGCTGAGCGCCAAAGAATTGAGGCCTTTGAAATTATGGCGCTGGAGAAGACTCCTGCGAGTCCCCTGGATTGCAAGGCGATCAAACCGGTCAGTCCTAGAGGAGATCAACCCTGACTGCTCTTTAGAAGGCCAAATCCTGAAGTTGAAACTCAAATACTTTGGCCACCTAATGAGAAGGAAGGACTCACTGGAGAAGAGCCTAATGCTGGGAACGATTGAGGGCAATAGAATAAGGGGACGACAGAGAATGAGGTGGCTGGATGGAGTCACTGAAGCAGTAGGTGTGAGCTTAAATGGACTCCAGAAGATAGTAGAGGACAGGAAGGCCTGGAGGAACGTTGTCCATGGGGTCGCGATGGGTCGGACACGACTTCGCAACTAACAACAAAATAGGGCTAATTTAGGAATAGGCAATCAGGCACCTTCCAATTACAGTCATGTGAAAAAGAAAGTACACCCTCTTTGAGTTCTATGGTTTTACATATCAGGACATAGTAAAAATCTTCTGGTCCTTACCAGTTCTTAAAAGTAGGTAAATACAACCTCAGATGAACAACAACACATGAGATATTACACCATGTCATCATTTATTTTACAAAAAGAAAGCCAAAATGGAAAAGCCATGTGTGAAAAACTAAGTACACCTTAGGATTCAATAGCTTGTAGAACCACCTTTATCAGCAATAACTTGAAGTTATTGTTTTCTGTATGACTTTACCAGTCTCTCACATCATTGTGGAGGAATTTTGGCCCAGTCTTCTTTACAACATTGCTTCAGTTCCTGGGCACAGGACCTGGGCACCTTGTAGTCATTGAGTCGACCATGAACTCCTCTGTATACCAAAGTATTCTAGAGTCAAATGTGAGGCCATCTATCCAACAGCTAAAGCTTGGCCGACATTGGGTCATGCAACAGGACAATGATCCCAAGCACACCAGCAAATCTACACCAGAATGGCTGAAAAAGAAAAGAATCAAGGTGTTGCAATGCCCCGGTCAAAGTCCAGGTCTCAACCCAATTGAAATTCTGTGGCGGGACTTCAAGAGAACTATGCATAAACAAATGCCCACAAACCTCAATGAACTGAAGCAATGTTGTAAAGAAGTGTGTATAACCATAGAACTGTATGTATAACCATAGAACTCAAAGAGGGTGTACTTTCTTTTTCACATGACTGTGAAATTACAAGTCGCATAAAGCTTGTCACTGGCTATACTGCCTGGGAATGAGATAACCCAAAATATAAAGATGGCAACAGACTGTCTTTCCAAGTTAGGTGGATCAAGAGTCTGACTTAATGCCTGGGTTTGCACAGCACATTTAAATAAGTGAATTAAAGACTCAGCAGCTGAATTTTCATTGCATGCTAACTTTGGTGACCTTTAATCCTAGATTTTTAGCATGTTACATGAACCCAATCAAATTGATTATTTTATGATTCAATGCATTATACAAACCCAGCAAATGGTTTAATTCAATAATGTGGATTGAAAGCAGTCAGTATTTCATTCAATTCATTTATTTATTTACTTATTATGACATTTTCTTCAATCACAATGCAATAGACTCTAAGGGATGTATAAAATAACTTGACAGAAGTATTAATAAAATGTTATTTCCCAGGAAGATAAGCTACTCCCACCCAAACACATTATACATACATACCAGATCTTCACCATAAAGCTATACAATAAGGCTTCCTATAAAAGTTTCTCCAACCCTGCCATCAAATTAAGATGTCCACTCTTCCTTCTGTGATGCTGGCAGAACTCCAGAGGTATTACCTGTTTGCCAGGATGGGGTGCGGAACTGGGACAGCAGGGAAGAAGCAGAAGGGCCTGGTTGTGGTGCCCGTGACTCCAGAGCCGAGATGAGGTTCATGACAGAGGCATCGGGGGTGGCACTACTGGCATGATGGAGCCCAGTCTCAAATAAGCCAGAAAGACCTAAAGGAGGAAATGAAAAAGAAGAAATGAAGGATGTGAAGTGCTTAGAATCAGTGAGAAGATGACAGATATAGCAAAAGAAAACAGGAAGAGGTTCATCACAGGGGACAGGCAAGGGAGCCTACAAGCAGACAAGCATTATGCCTCTTAAAGGAATCGGAGAGACAAGAAAAACATTAGAAATCAAAAGACATACCAACGATAAAATACCTGTTTTAGTGCAGAAGGGAGGGTTGCAATCAATCAAAGGTCAGGCACATGCAGACAGAAGGGAAGAAATGAGAAGCTGTTGACCTAACAGATATCTAGTAAAGGAGAGGGAAGAGTCAGACAAGCGAGAAATGAAGAACATGTGAGGAACTGGGAAACCTGAGGTTGTGAGAAAGAAAAACCAACTCTGGCTCTTATAGAGGCTTAAGAACGGAGGACGAAAGGATTTTCTATCTCAACAGTATATTACTTTTCACATCTTAAATATGAGATACAATTTTGGTTAACCAATACCAGCTGCCAGAGCAGTTTGAGTCTGAGCATTTCATTCAAAGATATGCCAATCAGAAAGAGAACCACACAGCAGAAAATAGAAATGCCAAGAGTAAACAGTGGCTTTAGGTGGGGAACAGAAGAAGTAAAGCATGAAAGAAGGGGTTAACCTTCCTTAATTTTCCCTATGCCACTGTTCTAGACACCAGCCCAACCTATGTTCTAGTTAAGAAAAGATATGTTAAGCATATTTTAAAAAAGTAACATATCTTGGTAACACAGAGATTAGTCTTGGAATAAAAGAGTGAGAGAGAAGACAAAGTAAGTAAAATGAAGCTGAAACTAATGCAAAATAACATCACTGTATCCAGACCTGTACAGAGGGGACATATGAAAAAGTGAGCAGAAAGTTTAGGCCTAAACTTTCTCAGACTCAGAGACAACTTATGAATGACACAATAACTGTTTTTGAGCCCAGAAGGCCTTACAAGCCAATATTATAAATGCTTCGAAGATGAACTTCTTCAGCCACTAAAGGATATAATGAATGATATATTACAGGGGGGAAAGATACCTCAAACATGGAAAGAAGCCAATATTGTGTTGCTACCGAAGGAAGGTCAAGATGCTACGAAGACAAAGAATTACAGACCAATTTCATTATTAAACAAGGATTTGCTGCAATTTTGGCAGAAAGACTAAAGAAAATTTTACAGCCATATATTTACAGGCATATATTAATGAAGACCAATGTGGCTTTCTGCCAAAAAAGACAGCTAAGGGACAATGTGAGGACTGTCTTGAATATTATTGAATACTTACAATATCATAATGAGAAACAGGCAGCTCTAATATCCTTAGCTGCAGAGAAGAGTTTTGATAATCTAAATTGGGCTTTCATGTTTAAAGTGCTTGAAGAAATGGTCTTTGAAGAGAATTTTATTTCAGGGGTCAAAGCTGTTTACACATCACAGCAAGCAAAAATTGTTATCAATGGTGATTTAACTAATTCACGTGAAATTCAAAAAGGTACAAGACAAGAATGCCCCTTGTCTCCTTTGCTGTTTATTTTGGTGTTGGAAGTTTTAAACAGAGATATTAGGCAAGATGAGAAAATAAAAGGTATAAGTATCAAGAAAGAAGTTTATAAATAGACGGCATTTGCTGATGGTTTGGTTATATTCCTGCAAGACCCAAAAAATAACATAGAATATTTGATGAGGAAATTATATGAGTTTGGGGACTTCCGGACTTGCGCTGTAGCACCTGGTTATGTGATCGTGGATCTCCGCACCCCGCGGCTAGTTTCGCCCTGCCAGGGGACCCTAAATGGGTCTAAGTCGCTCTGGAGAGGTGGCGAAGAAAGAAGGGTGCCCCAATGACTCTGGAACGATGGTGGTCGTTTTGTTCGGATTGGGGAAAGCCTTCTAACCCAACAGGTGAAAGGCTGGCCACACCTCACTGACCAGCCCAAGCTACTTGCAGCCGAAATCCAAAGGCACTAACCAGCACAACAGTGAACAGCGTGCTTGAAACTGGGTGAGGAATTTGATCTCTCTCCTATTTTATACCTAATTTTCTGGAAAAGATCCCCAAGAAGCAAAAAGCCTCCCAAAGTGAGAAGGAGGGGGATTGCCTCACCCTTCTATAGACGGAAGCAGCGAATTAAACCCTTATGGGGAAGAAGAAGATCGTGACTTCAAAATCTAAGGGACTGGTTTGGACAAAACTCAGCAGCACTTTTTCGTGCGGCTGCTGATAAAAACAGGATTGCCAACATGATCGCCAACATCCGATAACGGATATGGCACAAGAAGAAGAAGAAGGGGAATAAACATTACCATAGTTTGGATAAATTTGAAAGCTAAGAAAATTGTTAAAACTCTATACCTGAAAAAGCATTGATGAAATTATATATATAAAAAGAACAACAAAAATAACTTTGTTTTAAAAAGTTGAAAAAATGAACAGTGACATCTAGTGGAGGATAAGAGAAAACTATAGCAGCACTGACCCAGAATTTGGCAAGATGCCTAGAAACAGCAAAAAACAGCTGGGAACAAAGCATTGAGTTATCTACTACTGAGTGAAACTACATATGTTTAGAAACTGCTGACCTTCTGGGATTATAAACACACTGAACTGCATTCTTAAATCTTAACCTAAGAACTGTTTGCAAAGAAAGAAAAATTTTGGCCTTTGGCTAATCTAAAGGAGAAATTACTGGAAAACTTTTAGATGGTCAAATACTTTGAACTGAATCCTGACTGGCTGATAATTATAAGACCCCTGAAAAGAAAACTGCCACAAAATATTGTTTTCAGTGGTGCCTTGACAATTGGAAACGTACTGGATTATAAAACCATTATATAAAGATAATAACTACGTAAGATTTGGCTTTTTGGATTTTAAGATGGACTAGTTTGATAAAACTAATTAAAAAGATTATGACACCGATGGAAAACTACTTAGAGGGGAGAGATAAAATGGATATTATATACCTATCTAAAAGTAATATAAAACCATACCTAACACATCTTCCTGAAGAACCCAGTTTGGAGCTTCAAAGATCTGCAGGAACAATGACTCAAGACAATACAAATACATTCCAGGAGAAAATATACACAATGCTGCGACAGATTCAAACGATAATTGTTTCAAACCATGATGACATTAGAAATCAGTTTGACAACATAAACGAACATATCTCTAACTTAAATCTACAACTAAATGACACTCAAAATATGACAACTAAGAATGAACAAACAAATCAGACAACAGAATATAAATTAAATGAAAGTGACTTAAATAGAAAAGCTACAAATGAAGAAAACTACAATTTAATACAAACAAAAAAAAATCTGCAAAACTTTACTATAATAAAGAAGACAAAAAAGATGCCTTATCCTCCAGGACTTCAAAACAAATTTGAGGATAAAAAAGAACAAATAAAAAGGATTAAAGGACTGTCAGAAGAATTATCAAAACGTGGGAGACAAAAACCTGATACCTTACTTGATTTGTCTTTTTTGTCCCCAATAACACTTACAAAAATACAACCTGGCAAGCCAAACTTACTGATCTAGAAAGCGACTTGGCAAAAGAAGATCAAAGTTGTAGTCAAGAGATGTGATTCAACTTATCAGATGGAATATTATATGACTAAGCATTTGATTGAATATGAATATATGAATACTGTATATATATGATATATGAATATATATGAATATATATATAAAGTTTGGATATAAAGAGGCCCTAGAGAAAGATTATTAGATGGTGTATTATAGGATTAAATATTCTTGGAATATAGCCAAAAGAATAGATAAAGCTTGTAAAGGGGCCCTATAGTAAGAGGAATAAGATACATAAGTAGTATAATACTTTTAGAATATATGAAATGTTAAAACATTGAGAGGGTCTATTTAAATGAAAAGTTTGGATATTTAAAGGTAATGAATTTTGAGAAAACTATGACTGATAAGAGTGGTTTGAATACTGAGGGGAAACTAAGCTTCAATAAGAATCTTGAAAACAGGACATATAACTATTTAATAAGATGACTTTTATAAATACAATGGAAATAAGCTGATTAAAAAACATGTTATATGTTTATGTTATTATTATATGCATAAATACTAAAAATGTTTATATTCAACTTGGTTTGTACTGAAAATATTAAGAATTATATTTGTTTAATGGAGACAAAAGGAGAATATTACAGGAAGAAGAGAGGATCAAGAAATATATCACCAACATATTAATTGTAGAAATTATCATTGATTGTTTTAAATATATGAACCCAGATAACACACTGTTCACGAAGCACTAAAGATTGTTATTGTAAAAAATTAACAAAATATATTTTAAAAAAATTATATGAGTTTGGGGTGTTAGCGGGTTTCAAAATAAACAAACAGAAAACAACAATGCTGATTAAGAACATGCCCTCTCAGGGGATTGCTTCCAGTGACGTCGCTGAAGATAGACCCAGGGAAAAGATTCTCCACTCCCCGGGTCCGATTTTCATCTGCCGGTGGGTCCATTTGGACCAAAAGCCGCCCCAGAGAGGTGGCCACCAAAGGGTGACACTTTGGGGACCACGGGTCGGTGGTAGCCGGCCCGTTGGAGCCAGAGGAGCCCCAGGAATTGCCAGAAGAAAGGCAGATCGCATTCATGTGATCCGCCATTAACAGCTGATCATTGGAGACAGAGAACTAGCACAGAATGACAGCAAGCAGCTGAGCCGGGTGAGAATACTGTCTTCTTTCCCAGTAGAGGTGGATTTTTGGATTTCTGGCAAACAGCTCTTCTACAGCCTGAGAGCGAAGCCTTTACTTTTAGGGAGGGGTGGAGTTTTTTATTTATTTATTTATTTATTTATTATTTCAATTTATATCCCGCCCTTCTCCCGAAGGACTCAGGGCGGCTCACAACATTATTAAAAGACAAAGAGAGACCCACACACCCCACTGAATAAAACCAAATTAAAACCAATATTTTAGTGTTGTGGTAAT